AAAAAAAAAAAAAAAAAAAAAATCCAGCTTTCTATCAAGTAATGTTAGTTAAGTTTTTTTCTTAAATTTTGTATTTTTAAAATCTCCTTTTCTTATAAATTAAGCAATCATCCCGCATAAATGTGGTCCAGATAACTTGATACTAGTTTTCACAATCTGACTCAAATCTTCAGCCACATGACCATGAGGTTTTCTCACAACAATCTGCCCAACTGGCTTGCTTCCTTGAGGTTTAAGTCCTCTTCACAAGCTCTTGTTTTCAATCTTGTATATCAGAGTCTTCTGATATATTTTTCTTGTGCTAATAGGATGATTTAAAAGGTGGTGGTACTTGTGATAAATTTTCTAGTTTTCCGCTACCCATTTCTTCCTTAACTCCCTAACTACCTGTATTCTTTTAAGCAAACCTTATAGAGATATGATTTATGTGTGTGTTCCTGAGAAATAAATCCCAAGGCCTTCACAATGAACTATAACCCCAGCCCTTTAATTTTGAGACAGGGTCTTGCTAAGTTGCCTAGACTGGCTTAAACCTATGGCCCTCCTACCTCAGCCCACCAGAGTACAGGGATTACAGCCTATTCCAGCACATCTGGCTAAACATACCCATTAAAAAAACTGTACAGTTGGATTAGTTTTGACAAAGTACCTACACTCAGAACACCAAACTCCACTCAAGATAGGAATACTTCCATAATCCTCAACAATTCCTCTGTAAGACTTAGTCAACTCTTGTCTATAACCTCCACTGCAGGAAAATATGTCTGCTATATATTGGCTTTGCTTTTTCTGGAACTTCCCCTACACAGAATCATACAGCATGGCCTCTTTGTGTCTGGCTGCATCTGTCTGCAGTGTTTCTCTGCACTATTGAGCAATATTCCAATACATAAACACACAGCAATGTGTTAATCCGTTTTTTGTGGGTTTTTTTTTGGTACCAGGGATCGAACTCTGGCCCTTGCATTTGCAAGGCAGATGGCAGAACCACTGAGCCAAATCCCCAGCTAATCCATTCTTGATATGAGACACCTGTGCCATTCCCAATTTGGGCCTATTTTAAGAAAAGTAGTTGTGAATATTCACATACCAGTCTTTGTGAGCAGAGGAAGACTGCTGGGACCCAACTATTAAGAAAGTTCCACAATGGTATGGTGACACAGGCCTGTAATCCTCACATTTGGGCTAATGCAAAAGGATTACAAGTTCAAGTCCAGCTTAGGTGACATAGCAAACCTGAAGCCAGTCTGGGCTACACAGCAAGACTGTGACATCCCTCCCCCAACTTCCTAGGCACCAAATTGGTTTCAAAGTGGTTCTAGCATTTTGCTTTATGTTGGAAATTGGAAGAGTTCTGGTTGCTCCATATCCTTATCAATAACTGGACTGTCAGCCTTTAAAAACTGCAGCCCTTTACGGGATATGCTGATTTCCATGTGTATTTCCCAGATGACTAAAGATGTGAACCTCTTTACACAGATTTTTTTGGCCATTTGTGTATTTTCCTCATTGAAAAATAGAAATTAACATGCTAAGTCTAAATTTTAAAATGTAAATGCCAATACCCTAGAACTGATGAAACAGTTCATAAGCTGGAGCTGCCAGGTGTGGTGCCCATGACTGTGAATGCAGCACTAGGGAGGCTGAGGCAGGAGGATCACTATACGTTCAGGACCAACCTGAGCTACACAGGGAGTTCAAGGCCAGCCTGAACTACATAGCAAGACTGCCTCAAAAGACAAAAGGGGGGAGGGGGAGGGAGTAAGGAGAGAGGGAGAAGGAGGGGAAAAGTGAGAGAGAGGGGGAAGGGGGAGAGAGAGAGAACACTGCTAGGTATCAAGACTGAGTACAGTGATCAAGATGATATGGTCAGGGGTGTACACACAGAGAACAGTTGAACAGAACAGCTGCCCAGAAAGAGATCCACAAATATAAGGTCAGCTGGTTTTTTGACAAAGAGGACAAGGTAATTTAGTGATGGAAAGTTAAGTCTTCCTACAAATATTAGCTGGATGAATAAATGGGGAATAACTTCAACTTCTACATACTGTACCTCAAAATTATTTGAATTGGAAAAAAAATTATTTGAATTGGATCATAAGCCTAAATGTAAATCTTAAATTTCTAGAT